TAAAACTTTATACATATATTGTAATATGCCCACATATTGTGCTTATATGTACAGTATGTATGTATGTGTATATATTATAAATTTTCTAATTATTGTGAAAATAATAAATTAGAATAATTTTCAATTACAGTGTGTCTAAAAGTAATTTTATTTTTCATTATTATACCCTGCACTTCGTGAAGGGTATATTAACTTTGGTATGGAGTTTGTAACTACTTGAAGGAGTCATCTGCGGTATGGACATATATATATATTCTTGCTCAGCGTAAAATTCTGCGTCGATTTAGACATGTCCGTCTGTCCGTCCGTCCGTCCGTCCGTCCGTCCGTCCGTCCGTCCGTCCGTCCGTCCGTCCGTCCGTCCGTCCGATCGCACGATAACTCAAAAACGAATAATGCAATCGACACCAAACTTTCACAAGTTTTTTCTTTTGTGCCAAGGACGAGCCCTATTGTTATTGGACTAATTCGCACAACGGGTTCGGGTAGCTGCCATACAACTCAAAGAGTTTATTTCAAATATTTCAAAAACTAATAAAGCTATAAATATAAAATTTTGTACACATGTGTCCAATTATATTCTACACATGCTCTTGAAATTATAATGGGATAGCTGCACCGGTTCGGGTGGCTGCCATACAACTCCAACAGCAAATTTTTTATATTCGGCAAAATAATAAAGTCAGATTAATGAAACTTGGCAGTCATATGTCCAATTATAGGTCAAATATACTTCTGAAGTTTTAGAGGAATTGCTTTACAGGTTCGGGTACCTGCCATACAACTCCAGAAGCTAATTTTAAATATTTGGGAAAATAATAAAGTCAGATTCATGAAACTTGGCAGTTGGATGTCCGATTATAGATCAGATATATTTGTGAAGTTTTAGAGGAATTGCTTGACAGGTTCGGGTATCTGCCATACAACTCCAGAAGCTAATTTTAAATATTTGGAAAAATAATAAAGTCAGATTCATGAAACTTGGCAGTTTTGTGTCGAGTTATAGATCAGATATATTTCTGAAGTTTTAGTGGAATTGCTTGACAGGTTCGAGTAGCTTCCATACAAGTCTAAAAGCTTATTCTAAATTTTTGGAAAAATAATAAAGTCAGATTCATGAAACTTGGCAATTGTGTGTCCGATTATAGATCAGATATATTTGTGAAGTTTTGATGGAATTGTTTGACAGGTTCAGGTACTTGCCATACAACTCCAGAAGCTAATTTTAAATATTTGGGAAAATAATAAAGTCAGATTCATGAAACTTGGCAGTCGGATGTCCAATTATAGGTCAGACATATCCGTGAAGTTTCTATAGAATGACTTCACAGGTTCGAGTAATTGCTACACAATAACGCAAGGTGCAGGGTATAATTCAATCGGTTTATACCGACTGAAACGTTTTTACTTGTTTTTATATATTTTCTGTTTTTGCCTTTCCCAATTTGTATACTAATTATTTTTGCTTTTTTTTTTGTTCTACACAGGGGGGCCTTTTTTCACAATTAATATTTTTTTGCCTTAAAAATATACAATTATACATGCTAAAAGAATTATATATGTATGTACTTTGTATATAAATTTTAAATATTTCATCATGACTTTTCGAATAATAATTATAATTGCTATTATTTTTGTTATATTATATTATTTTTTTTGGGATAATTTGTTTTCTATATTTCCAAAATTCTTTAATTTATTTGCGTTTACAAAATTTCAATTTCATGAATTCGTAAATATTTTGATTGAAAATATTGTAGAATTTATATTTGCTAGTTTTATAAATTATATTTATACATTTAAAATGTGTTATATATACACCCATGTATGTATGCACATATAATTATTATTGTTAAGTATAATATAAAAATTTATTTATAGAATATAATTAGTAATAATGTTAATATTACAGACATTTAATTTCTAGCTTCAAGTTTCCAATTAATTGTACATAAATTTAATATCGAACACGATATATAAACATAATATTTACACATTTAAACAAAATGTATGTAAATGTAATGTAATTGGAATTGATTTAGAATTTTTTTTTTTTTATAATTCTTATTTCCCCCCTACGGATTATTTAATTAAGGTTGACATTTAAAGTAATTAAATGTAAATTTTTTTACATTATAATTTCGTAATTTTTATATGCTATTTCTGATTCTTATAACAATACTAATAAGTAATTGTTAACATTTACATAACAGAAGGCAAGTCACGTCAAAAATAATTAGTTTTTGAAGAAAAATATGCAGAATTTTACAATTTTATTCATTTTATTATTTATTTAAAATTGTTTTACATTTAAAATGGTATAGAAAATGTAAAAATTTGCAATATATGTAGTATATATATTTATTGGTACAACAACTACCGATAATTTTTTAATAAAGGAAGAAGTTGTCAATATTGTCAACGTTACACACACACACAAAAATCAATTTTAATATATTATAATTAAAGACAATAATTAAAGACGATGAATCTATATACAATGCAATCTATAGTTTTCGTAAAACAAAGAGTCGTAGAAATCAAAACCGGAATGCTATTACTAAAGAAGCTTTTCGCTTAGTAGACAACCAAAAGTAGTATAACACTATTATTAAATATATAACACTATAGAGACTTTCGTACACAGAAAAAAATGAATTAGGTTTTTCAACTAATCGTAATTAGCTGGTTTCAAATTAGGTGTTTTATATAAACAATTAGAAGTATTGACAACTTCTTTAGCTGTTTTAAAATTCACTATTAGCTGGCTCAACTAGTTGGAATTTGTTGAATGCAATATTAAAAAGATTAGGTGATTTGTCCACTCATTTAAATGTATTATCTAAAATAAATAGTTGAAAAAGTTCAACTAATTTAATTAGATATTTCATCTAAACATTTAGTTATTTTAGAAAAGAAAACAAAAAAATAAGTTTACAGTTTTTATGTAAATTCCTAACCAATGACTACATTTTTAAATATTTTGACTACAACTTTAGTTGATTCAGCTATTTCATTTTATTGCAAAAAATTGACTAAAACATTAGTTCAACCACTGAAAACATTGGTTGAGTTATCAAAAGATCAAATGTTTTACTTAGAAATAAATACCGTTACTTTTTTCTTCAATGACTACTTTTCTAGATATTTTAACTATTACCTTAGTTAATTCAGCCACTTTATTTTACTCAAAAAATAATTAACTAAAACACTAGTTGAAATATCGAAAAAATTAGCTAAATTTAGAAAAAAACACTTGTTTTATCAAGAAAAAATTCAAAATACCGCTACTTTTTTTGTATTCTAATTTTTGAAGTTTTTGAACAGAAATTAGTACATGTTGAATATTTGCGTAGTAAATAACCATAGTTTTATTATTGTAAAATAAATTTTTCGTGTTTGAAATTAACTTAAAAATAATTATGATTATTAAAAAAAAAAAATAAAAATAATATTCAAAAAATTTACATATTGGACTAAATAAAAAAAGTGATAATCGTGTTAAGAGTAGTAAAAACAGCTTCTTACTTTCGAAGATATAGTTCTAATATGATGTAGAAGTTTTGAAAAGTCAATCATTACATTTGCAGCCTGAAGGTAATTTTAATTTTATATTAAATTTTATAATAATTATTATAACTTTAATATTAATTTCAAGTTTTAATTCCCAGTTTAAGAAAAAGGAGACTGAAACTTAAAGCAATGTAATTTGGTTCAAAAATAATATTAATCATGAATAAATCGTAATTAAAAAGTGGAACTTGACTTTTGATATACGCAGAAAAGACCTTTTAACACTAAGAAATTGGAAAGAAATTTTTAATAACACAATTTTGAAGCTTTGGTAAGTTTTTATATTTTTTTAAAATGATATTAAAATTTATAAAATATTTTAAGCACACATCGTTCATCAAATTACAACTCAATGTTATAAAGGAGGAATATTAACTTGTCCAAAAATACAAAATCATTGTTGTTGAATATTACTTAGAAGAACTTTCGTGTTTTTAAATTTAACATAATGTGACATTAACTGAAAAAATATTGGATAAAATAAAATTAAACGAAACAAAACTTAATTTTTAATTTATAGTACCTTTTTATTTTCAGGATTAAACCTAAATAAATTTAGAAACGAGCCTAATTTATTTAGATACTTTTTCTAATATAATAGGTAAAAATCCTATTATAATTAACTAAAAAATAGTTATATTTTCTATTCTCTTACTAAATAATTAGGTATATTATCTATTGTTGAGAATATTTTTTAACTATTTATTTAGGTGAAATTCCTATTTCTATAGTTAAATTTTAAAAAGGTTTTAAAATAAATCAACTAAATGATTAGGTGAACCGACTATTTGCTTAGTTCTAATCCACCTAAATTTTTAGGTATTTTAGCTAATATTGTAGATAAATCAGCAAATTTATTTGGTTAATTTTCCTAATTATTAAAAAGTAAATTCAGCTAATTTAAATTAGGCAATGTAGCTAAATAGTTTAGGAGGCTGAAAATCAAGCATTTCATTAGGTGATTTATACTATTGTTTTAGCTAAATGTTCTACTCTTTTTTTTCTGTGTAAGATAAGTCATGTTTTAGAGACTAAACTATAAAAGAAACGCTCAATTATCAATCAAAAACAATTAATTACAAACGTATATTATTATTTTTTTTATAAATCATCACAGGTTTTCTAATTCCGTAAGGCAATATACATGTTTACATATATTTGAGTTGGCAATATAAGTAGAATTAAAATCATAATTAATTAATATTTATTTTTTATAGTTATAATTTATAATTCAATATTCCCACATATTAATAATTATACATTATTATTTCTTAATATTTTCTTAATATTTAAATTTAAGAATTGCCGTTCTTTCCATTTTTATAACATATTAATTATTTTCAACAATTTATATACATTATTAATATATTTAAATAACATAAAAAATTTACATATTTTTATTTTCTTTTTTTTTTTTGAATATTTCAGGTGAGTCAAAATCAAAAACATTACCTCGAATACATTTCGATTCAAGTATTAATGATAAAAGTGATAATGAAGGTAAAAATCTAAAAATATTATTTTATTTTATTTTACATAATTTATAATTTAAATAATATTATGCATGTTTTGCAATATATAGCGGTTCTATTATATAACACAATAAATTATAAAACTTTTATAATATGTTTATGAATTTTAGAGGCGTAAATGAGAAAATACATTCTGAAGTGAAGAAATTTATTGCACAAAATATACGAGTATGTATTGAAATAAATAACAATAATATTATAACTGTTACTTACGTTCCCTTTTGATGATATATATCGAAACGTATAACAATTTTAAGTATAACAGTTTTAAGTATAACAGTTTTAAGTATAACAGTTTAAGTATAAATAAATTGAAAATTGTAGTTTTATTCCAACAGTTGGAATTCAAACAGTTTGGTTTATATTTATATTGTTATACGGAAACTATATATCAAATTCTAGTCTATAATCAAATGCTAGTATTTACTTCTGTATAACAGAATTTCCAAATAAAACCGTAGTTTATTTATATTCTAGTCTAAATGAAGTGTAATTTGAAATGTTATAATTTATACCTTTATAAAGAACGCAAGATTACATTAACTATACTCGCTTATATATTGATCGGTATTGTTGTCGTATTATGAATAGTATACAAAAATTATGTGTAATACAATTTGAAAAATAATCAACTAGAGTAAACTGACAACACTATTCCCTGTTAATTTTTTTTATTTGAATCTTCAAATCTTTGATTTTCTTTTATCTTTTAATTTATTGATTTGTGCTTTTTTTTTTAAAGTTATACAATATTTTTTTTATAATAAATAAATCGATTATTTTGAAAGCATTTCAAAATGAAATTAAATAAACATTTACATAATTTTATATTATATTGGTAGATAAGTTTACATTCAAATGCAATTAAAAACAACGATAAGTAGTAAAATAATATTGAATAAAAAAAAATATTGGAAAAATTTAGAAAATAATATTAAAATTTTTGTTAATTTTATAACTTTATAATCACATTATATATAGAAGATGGCGCCATCTTTTATAAACAACTTTGTATTTAAAATTTTTTATGTTTTTAATCAAAAAATTTTCTATAAAAAAAAAACGTATTTAATTCTGATTATTTTAAATGGAATTTAAATAATTTTCTAAAAGTATTTAGATAATTTTTGTATTTTTTCTTCTTTTATATCTTTTATAAAATATTCAAAATATTTAAAAAGAAAAAGTTATTTATGAATGAAATTTTAAATGTTTTTTGATAACAAGCATTTTAATACTTTGATTTATTCAAAAAATAAATTTTTTTTTTTATCTTCATTAAAATATTTTAATATTTTATTAATTTACATATTTATACCAACACATGTATATATGTACATGCACCATTTTGTATTCAAATTAATTTAAAATTCATTGATACCAATTGATACCAATTATGTTAATATATAGTCAATACTGAAAATATACTCGTATTTTAAAATTTTTTATGTGTTAACACAATCAATTAACATTTTAAATTTCTAAATCAGTTATTAACCTTCCTTTAAAAATGTCAGCTGGAATTTAGAACAGTTTTAAAATGTTTTATAATATGTGTGTATGCATAAATGATGCGCTACATTTTCTTGCATAATACAAAAAATTGAATTGACTGAAGCTTGTATAAACTGAAATATAGCTATATACAGCTACCGGAGCTATATACAAAAATAAAACAGAAGAAATAATCGATTTTTGGGAAAATAAATTTATATGTGTATATTAGAATCGCTGGTCGATAGTAATCACTGGCCAATTCAATTAAAAATTTTATTTTTTTAAATTCTTCATAATTATTTAGTAGAATTTTTGTTTTTAAAGGTAATATTTTAAATTTTCTTTATAAATTATGCAAATGAGACATGTTTATCTCTAGATATACTAATGAGTTGAAGTTGATCCTATAATCTATACAGATCCTATAATCTATTCATAAATTCCCCTATAAAGCGAAAATCAAAAATTAAATTCAAGAGAAACAAAGTTTAATTACCTAGATAATTTTCAAATTTGAAATACAAAAAAAATTTTACCATTTTTTAAATTTTATTAAATATAAAATTGAATAACCTTTATAAATAGTGAAAGAAATTATAGAAAATCAAAAAAAAAAAAATATTCCTTGATCTTAACACTTTTTTTTCGAAAAATTCTTGACTTTCAAAAATAAAATGAAATGCTTATAAGATGAATTCATAAATAAAGAAAAAAAAACACAAGATTCCTGAAAAATTTTTTAATTTCATTTTAATTTTTTTTTTTTTTTGCATTTTATAATATTATGTATGTATGTATATGTATTTAGTTTTGACAAAAATAAAATCCGAAAAATTATTGCATTTTAAAATAACAAGAAAATTTATTAATGTCATTAAAATAAAATGTCAATTTATTTCAATAAATATAAATTATAAATTTTCTATAAAAATGTTAAAAAAAATACAGTCATTTTCCAGAAAAAATAATCACAGGTAATTTTTAACTGAAAAAGTTTTCAGTTCTACTTCAGAAATTTTCTTAAATCCTATAAAAAAAAATACGAGATATAATCATTATAAAGTAAATATTGAAATATCAAAAATTCCAAAAAGCAGTAATGGATTAAATCCCTCATATGAACAGCATTCAATATAATTTGACAAGAAAAAAAAAATTAACTGTGTATAAAGTACTGATATAAAATTAAAAGATTAAACGTTATAAATTTTCATTGTACTTTTTAAAATTCTAAGAAAATAGATATTCTTAATTAGTTCCACATGTTTCAAATGTTCCATACGCTATACAAAATTCTAAAAATTCACATTCCAGAAGGTCGAATTATTGTACAAGCTCCAAACAATTCACAAACTCTACATATTCCACAATTTCTACAAGTTCCATAAGCTCTACGTTCCACAAAAACAAAAAATTTCTGTACGTTCCATGAGCTCCAAACATTGCATTAAATCCACACGTTCCACAAATTCCAAACTTTCCACAATTTGTGGAACTTTCAAATTTAATATTCCAACTCAAATTAAAATTACTTAAAATTCAACTACAAACAGTTTTTTTTTTTTCAAATTAAATTTTACTATAGTGGCATATAATAAAAATAATTCTAATTAATATTGCCCGTACCCATTTAACAGAACGTTGGTGTAGGCATTAGAATACGTCACAATTTTTAAAGGTTTAAAAAAAACAAAAAATCGGATACACATTTTTTATAAAAATCAATTTGTTACAAATCTATTTTTGAATAAAAATTTTCTTTTATTATTTTTTAATTTATTTTTGAAAAATCTAATTTTAAAACAAAAAAAAAAATTTTTTTTTTTTTGATGAAAACTTATTTTTCGTTTGTTCTTATGTAAAATTGAAGAAAACAAAACTAAAGATGAGTGGGTGAAGTAAAAAAAATTTGAAATGATGAGCACGACAATGACGACGGCCGTCCGTTTATGATACAAAATTATAGTGTTTTCCTTGAAAATTTTTCAAAAAAAAAAATATATTTCAATTTTCAAGGTGAAATATTTATAATATTTTCTATGCTATCCAACTAATTGTAAATCACTTCATAAGTATACCTACAAAATGTGCTATATCAAATCTATTTACAAAATATCATACTGTCACAAGTCTGTTTACCGCATTCTCCACTTTCTGCGTCCATGTCTCATATTCTATTATTACACATTTTTTTTTTTTAATTTTTTTAATTTTTCAGCGAAAAATGTTTCTTTTTCATTAAATCACGTATGAATCTACTAATTTTAGTACCTATTTGTATCATCTTTAAAATGTCGAAATAAAAAAAGTATAGACGAAGAAAAAAAAAAAATTTAATTTTGTTTTTCTTTAATTGAAATTTATGTTGTGAGAAAAATAAGCGGTTTTTTTTTTTTTTTTGGTTTATGTTTGCAAGTTTTTCTTCGACATATTGTAATATAACCGTTAAATAGAAAAAAAAATGTTTTTTTTTTTGTAACACAATAGTCTATAGCTGTAAAATTTACGGTCTTTTTAAAAAAATTCACATAATATTCTATTCTTTGGCAATGATGACGATAGCATGATTTGATAAAAATGAAAATTTTGACTTTATTTTTATTTTGTTAAGACTTTAAAATGGCATATAATTTATTTTTCCTTATATAGTTGTATGTGACACCAGTAAACATTGCGTATCTGATTGTCCGTTTTTGATATTAAAAAAATTTTATCAGTAAACACAATGGTAATACAAATGTGTACGTACATTGCAATTGAGGAAGATATGTGATTTAGCGCTAATATTGAATATATATTAAAAATTTAATGGAACTATTGCCCAACATGCTTAGAAGTACAGCAATATTGATTGAAATTAAGAGTCAAATTCGAAAAAGAATCACACGAAACAAAATCGTAATCGAAGTAATAATGTTTGGTAAAAGTTGAGAAACATTAAAATTAACTCTGATTAAAAAAGAGAATTAACTCTGATTAAAAGAGAGAATTAACTCTGATTAAAAGAGAGAATTTTAATTGCAAAAAAGAGTTCAGGAAACTGCCTAAAAAGAAACCTAAATTTCACTATTATATGAAATTCTTAAATATTTCACCATAATACTAAATAAAACTTTTATATATTTTCGATTAAAATGAAAACAATATTCTAATTTGATTATAAAAATATGGCCCGTTCGTCGTCTGCCTGTCTATCCGTATGTCTGTTTTTACAAACCGACTCTCGAAATTTTTAAAATTTGAATTTTCGTCACCTTGTACATAATATTTCCGAAACTGCAAGCTTTTCCAAATTTTTATAAATGCAGAAAGCTAACAGGAAATGCTATGCCATCAGAAAATATAATTACTTTTCTTAAATCATTTGCTTAATTATTCAATTCAACCATTATGTTAACTCTCCTCTTTCAATTGTTTTTCTTGTCTGACCCCAAAATATATGCAATTTTTTTAAATATTTTGGTATATGAA